TTACAGGTGAGAGCACACCACGCCTCACCCTGTAGGCCTCCTGGATCCTCTCATGTTTCTTCAAAGGTCAGGCGGGTCACCGTGACCCCTCAGTTGTTGAATGGCTCCAAGCTCAAACTTTCCACACTACTTGAACAGCGAAGTTAAAAAAAAAAAAACAAACAAACCTGCTTGGTGTTCATAACTCTGCTCGAAAGTCAACCCAAAAATCTGACTTAAAAAAACCCGTGTGTGCCAAGATTGAGCTGCAGTGGACACAAAGCAGAGGTGCTCCCGTCTGAGAGCACAGAGTGCTTGAGTGGGTGAGTTCACATATTTGTCAGTGGGTTTTTTCTTTTTGTCCTTTATTTGCATGAAATACAACCACAGCTCCAAAGAGAGTTAGTGGTGCCAGCAGTAAAGCTAAGAGGAAAACTGTAAGAACCATGACAGAGTTAAAGAAAGAAATCTTTCTGAAATTTGTTAACGTCCTGGAAAACAAATTTATAAGTGCAATTTTTGGGCCTCAGAACCAATTATTTGGTTTCATATTTTTATTTTTGTTTTCTTGAGACAGGGTCTCACTATGCAGTTCAGGCTGGCCTTGAGCTCACTTTGTAGTCCAGGCTGGTCTTGAACTCACAACCATCCTCCTGCCTCAGCCTCCTGAGTGCTGGGATTGCAGGCATGCGCCACCACGCCCGGCTTGGCTTCCTATTATTTCTCACAAGAAAAATATATTCAGTTCTCGAGCTTTTCAGTGTTTGAAGACAAATCTGGAATGAATCAAGTTCTACAGCTGAGGTATCCCTGCATGTGCCAAGTTCACTTCCCCCCCCCCCCCCGGGCCCTCTCCTCCAGATTCCTCTTTGCTTTCCAGTTGCTGTGCTCCTCTGACTTTGGGGTTTCCGCCGGGAAGCCCGAGGTTCCTGCCAGATTTGGGTGACGCCCTAAGGCACTGGCCTGCGCCTGCCCTCCGGTGAAAGCTGAAAAGTGACAGACTGACCGCGCCATGCCCTGCCTCCTGGCTCCACCTCCTCTCTGCGTTCTGAGAGTGGCTTTGGTCGCTTTTCAGTGCCTCTGCATGTCTGTCTGGTTACAGTCTCTCCAGAGTTTATCGTCATTATGTGCAGGAAGGCGGTTCTGATGTGAGCGGCTGCACCATTACTGGGAGCAGAGCCCCCGCCAGCCTTGCCTGCCCTTCCGTCTTCCTCAGCCAGAGTCACTTAATCCGGAAGTCTCTGGAACAGTCCTTGCTTGTCTCTGGGCCTTTGCATATGCTTTTTTTCTGCTTCTCCCACCGCTAGCTAAGGATCTTGTATTCATTCTTAGGATTTAGCATAAATATCTTCTCTTTTGGAGAATTTTGTCAGTTGGGACTGATTCAAGTAATAGAAACTTCTTTGCGGTAAACCAAAAAGGGACAAGAGGAGATTTAATGTAAGAGGAAGAGATACCCTGGGGGAACCCAAAGACAGAGATCCAGCCAGGCCTCAGGAACCAACCCAAACCAGGCAGACCGGCAGGTGTGGTGACACATGCCTGTAGTACCAGCATTCGGGAAGCTGAAGCAGGAGGATCCCCACAAGTTCAAGGCCAGCCTGGGTTACATAGTGGGTTTAAGGCCATCCTGGACTACACAGTGAGACCCTGTCTCAAAAACCAAAAAACAAAACAAAAACCCCCAAAACAATAAACCAGCAGGCCATTTCATTGGAGCTTTACCTTTTGTGTCTGTTCTCTGTCCTGCTACAGGGCTCCCACATTTAGAAGCCTAGTATGTCCCCTTGGGCAGCTTTGTTTTTGTTTTTTGTTTTGTTTGTCTTCTTTTGAGACAGGGTCTCGCTCTGCAGTTCAGGCTGGCCTTGAGCTCATTTTGTAGCCCAGGCTGTCTCGAACTCCCAACGATCCTCCTGCCTCAGCCTCCCGAGTGCTGGCATTAGGCGCGTGTGCTACCACGCCCAGCATGCCTGGGCAGCTCTGTTCCTGCTTGCTTTTCTCCTTGACCTCTGCACCTTATATTCCTTGAAGACAGGACTATGCCTTTATTGATTTCGTCACCCCCGGAACTTAGCAGGGTAGCTCAAGGCAGACAAGTGCATTGACCTTTGATGCACACCCCAGCAGGCGTTAAAAGAGACATTTCCAGGGTTCTTTGGGAGCCAGAGAGGAGCAGCTTTCCTATGTGGACAGTCATGAGACTTTAGGAAATGTTTTTCTTGGCCCATGATTAAATATCAAGCTTTTTAAATTTTTCTTTTGGGGGTTACTGGGAATCGAACTCAGGACCTCATGCTTGCCCAGCAGGCGCTGTGTTGGCCCGTGATTAGGGCTCCACAGGGAAACCCCATAACATGTAGAGATCCCCTCCCCTCCTTTTCCCCGTTCCCCACTTCCTTCCTCTCCCACTCGCTCCCTCCCTTCCCACTGTACTGGGGCCTGAACCCGGAGCCTCGTGCATCCTGGCAAGCGCTCCAGTACTGCGCTACACCTGCAGTCCTATTTGTTTCCTTGCTTGTTTATGATATTGGGGCTTGAACACGAGCCTCTGCACTGAGCAACAGCCCCAGCCTTTTAAAATTTTTTGCTAAATTACTAAGCTGCCCACGCCGAGGTATGCATTAACTTGCAATCCACCTGCCCTAGCCTCCCGGAGTGCCGGGATTACAGGCGTGGGATACCACACTCAGCTCCTCTATTTTTTTTTTTTTTTTCCTGGTACCGGGAATCGAACTCACGACCTTGCGCTTGCCAGGTAGGCGCTGTGCCGCTGAGCTAAATCCCCAGCCCTCCTTTACCTTTTTACATTTCTATTTTGAGACACAAGTCTTTCAAAGTTGTCCAGACTGGCCTGAAATTTGCAGTCTTCCCGCCTCAGCCTCCTGAGGAGCTGGGAGGACGGGCACGCACCACCACCACGCCCAGGCCATGCTGAGACTCCTGTGAAAACTCCCACCCCTCTGGGTCTCCATCGAGTGAAGAGATACCTGCAGTGTGTTCGTGCGCGTCCCTCCGCGACCGGAAAGACCCCTTGTGGGCAGCGGTCTTGACAATGTATTCCAGCCCCTTGAGACTTCTCTCAGCTCTTTTCCATCCAGCAGCCTTTAAGCATTTTCTTTTCTTAGCTTAAAAAGTGTTTGCCTCCCTTCCCCTCTTTGACTCACCTCCAGGTTTCTACATCAACATTACTTTCTGGAGGGGAAGGCTGCTTCCCTCTGCCCACCAGTCAGGGCAGCCCTGGGGGCCACTCCCTCTCCAAGGCAACCGCTGTCCTCGTCCGCATCCGCACCTCCCTGCGCCGGCCTGGTTCAAGGACGCTGCTGCCCCCTACCGGCTACAACAGTGACATCAGAGACCGCTGGCATCCTACTACATACACACCAGGCTGGGCGCTATCTTCGCCGGAAAGGCAAAGATATTTGTCACTTGCGTTGAATTTCAGTAATTAGTGCAACTTTCTCATTTTAAAGAGAAAAACCAAGGTACTGAGTTGGGAGAGTGAATTTTCCAGTGACCGGCCTCAAGTTAGCCCTGGTGGCTCTGTCCTGCTGTGCGATGGAGCCTTCTCCTTAGCATGCTTCTTTCCTTCTGGGGCACTACGCCGACCACTGCCAGCACTGTTTCTGCAAGACCTAGGCATCTCTTCTTTCCCAAGTGTGCCCAAGATGCAACTCTCCAAGAAACGTTGTATTAAAAATAAAAAAGTAAAATAAAATAAGCAAGAAACGTGTTATTAAAAATTAATCAATTTCTGTGCTTAGGATTGAACCCAGGGCCTCAAGCATGCTAAACGCACACTATACCACTGAGCCACCCCCCCCCCCACACACACACACCAGGTACAGTACTTTTTTTTTGTCTTTTTGTGACAGGGTCTCACTATGTAGTCCAGGCCAACCTTGAGCTCACTTTGTAGCCCAGGGTGGCCTCAAACTTGCAACAATCCTCCTGCCTCAGCCTCCCAGGGGCTGGGATTACTGGCGTGCGACACCACGCCTAGCAGTACCTTCCTTTTTTTTTTTGGAGGCAGGGTCCCATTCATCTCAGACTCCTGGACTCAAGTGACCCCCCTGCCTCAGCCTTCTGAGTAGCTGAGACTACAGCTGTATCACAGTGCCCAGTTCCAATAGCATTTTTGACTCATGCAGAAAAAACACGTTTTCTTGGTACCACTGGGAATCAAACTCAGGACCTCACACTTGCCAGGCAGGCGCTGTGCCACTGAGCTACATCCTTGGTCCAAAACCAGTATTTTTGAAGAGTGAAAAGTGGGTACTTTAAGAAAGTTTTTTCTCAGCTTTTTAATATGAAAACTTTAAAGTATGTACAAAAATCTGCATGCATAGGAAAATAAATGCCCACATATACTTCATCTAGATTCGCTAGTCACTAACATTTTACCCAGTGGTTCCCTCTCTCCCCCATATATAATATTTGTATCTGTATGTCCCATATATAATATGTATATACACATATACTCTGTTCACGTACACGTACACCCGCTGAACTGTTTAAGAGTTGGTTGTAGCATCACTAGTTTGCTTCAGCATGATTGTCACAGTCTTCCTATATTGTTCACCAATATACATCCATATATATATTTCTTCAGTCATCTCAATTATATCTTTTCTTTTTTGTCTTTTTGAAACAGGGTCTCGCTATGCAGTTCAAGTTGGCCTTGAGCTCACTTTGTAGCCCAGGCTGGTCTTGAACTCGAAAGGATCCTCCTGCCTCAGCCTCCCGAGTGCTGGGATTATAGGCGTGCGCCACCACACTCGGCAATCTCAGTTATATGCTGTACAGCTGTCTTTTTTTTTTTTTTTTTTTGGTTTTTCCCCTGTACCAGGAACCGAACTCATGACCTTGCGCTTGCCAGGCAGGCGCTTTGCCGCTGAGCTAAATCCCCAGCCCTCTGTACAGCTGTCTTGTTTTCTGCAGTAGTGGTGAATGAACCTGGGGCCTTCACACTGAGTTATATCCCCAGCCCTTTGTTTTTATTTCTTAAATTTTGAGACAGAGTCTTGCTAAGTTGCCCATGTTAGGCTCAAACCTGGCTAGTCTCCTGTCTCAGCTTCCCAGAGTGCTGGGATTTCAGGCACATACCACTGGACCAGGCCTATAGTTGGTGGTGTTCTTTTTAAATCCAGAATCCAACCCAGAACCACGACTTGCATTTGACTGCCACTTCTTAATCCCCTTGAATCTAAAATTTCCAGATTATATCTTTGAAGAGTCCAGACTAGTTGTTCAGCAGAACTGCCTAATGTGAATTTGAAATTGTCTATATTCCTCATCGTTAGATTCAGATTAAACTCTCACTTTTTTTTTTTTTTTTTAAATTTTTTGTTTTTTGGTTTTTCTCCGGTACCGGGAACCGAACTCACGACCTTGCGCTTGCCAGGCAGGCGCTTTTGCCGCTGAGCTAAATCCCCAGCCCCAACTCTCACTTTTGTGAGGGGTGGCAGGATGCCATTTGCACAGTGCTGCGGGTGCCCTTTCATTTCACTGCGCCCATTCCAGGTTTGAGGAAGTTCTGGGCCTTTGAGAGCTCACACCTGCGTGTGCTGGAGGGGGCCGGTGTTCGTCTCTGTGCCGGAGCCTCAGCTCGCCAAAGCTGGGCCGTGCAGAAGGCCCAGGGAGCGGGAAGATGAATCTCAGCTTCAGTCTGGGCACAGTTCACTGATGGGGCGGCTGCAGGCTTTGGGGCGCTTGTGTTGGGCATGAGGGGCGGAGTCAGTAAGAACTCCTTCACACAGGTGGCCAGCCAGCTCCTCAGCCGAAGGTCACCTGTCGCTGTGCCCACTCTCTGTGGGTGCACCTGGAAGGGAAATCAGAGGGCTGAGGGAGGCAGCCATGCGAGGCAGTCCTAGGTGGGATTAGTGGGGGACCTAGAATGAAAAGCACATCGGGGGCAGGGTGGGGTAGGGCATGCCTGTAATCCCAGCACTCGGGAGACTGAGGAAGGAGGACTGCCACAAGTTCAGGGCCATCCTGGGCTACAGAGTGAAATTCTGTCTCAAAAAAAAAAAAAAACTAATCAGGGGCTGGGGATTTAGCTCAGCGGCTCAGCGGCACAAGGCCTGCCTGGCAAGCATGAGCTTGTGAGTTCGACTCCCGGTACTGGAAAAAAAAAAAAAAAGGCAAAAATAGGTTCAGAAAGAAAAATGAGGGCCGGGGATATAGCTCAGCAGCACAAGCGCCTGCCTGGCAAGGGCAAGGTCCTGAGTTCGATTCCCAGTAGAAAAAAAAAATCATGAGTCAGAAAGAAAAGTGAAAATAAAATTTAAAAACAAATGAAAAGGGGCTGGGGATTTAGCTCAGCGGCACAGTGCCTGCCTGGCAAGCGCAAGGTCGTGAGTTCGATTCCCGCTACCAGAAAAAAAAAAACAAACAAAAGAATGAGATATAAAGGGGACACATACACACACACCAGAGAGGAAGAAAAATGTGAAGAGACAGAGACACACAGGAGGAGAGGAACCAAAAGACTCAGACACACAGGTCTAGGGGCAAAAGAAAGCACAGCATCTTCTTCATCTGTGGGGTCACCTGCTCAGGTTGTACTTTTCCAAACAGAACTCCTCCTCCATGCCCACAAGCCGGGCCCTAGGCCAGAAGTTTCCTGTTCTGCTTGGGGATGTGGCCTTTTCCCAGGGCCACCAGCAGACAGGAAAGCCTCGCTGGACACATCTGGGGCAGAGGAGGAGCCAGAGAGAGACAGACAGACAGAAGGGAGGATGAGAGAGAAGAAAGCACTATAAATAGCCTCCCCTCCAGAGCGAGGAGCCCAGGATCCCAGGAGCTGCCCAGCAGGGTGACCTCGGCTAGTAACGCCAGGCCAGGGGTTTCTCATGAGAAAAGGGGTGAGGGGGGCCGCCCAGCCCCTCAAGCAGGCTGGGGAGAGGCAGCCCAAGGGTTCAGCCAGGGCCAAATTCCTCTGGAAGCTCACAGACAAGGGCTCCGGTAGAGGAACTTGGGGCTCCCAGGGGACTCTGGGGCAGTAATGTGCAACGTCGGTGCTTTTCTCCAGCAGGAAGCGAAGAGCGTTGAAAGCGCAGTGTCAGGGCTCTTCTGGCCTTGCGGCCGAGCCCGAACGCAGAAGCCCCTCTCTGACCCAGCCAAGGGAGCCACCCTGGCCCCCAGCCGCTCACCCAGGAGCTGGAGGGGTGTCAAGGGGCGGCACAGGACATCCCGCAAACTCTCCAGCCACTCGCGCTGCTCCTTCTCGCTGGGGCAGGTGAGCACGAATCTCCGATGCGGGGTGACGACGGTGAGGCCAGCTTTCCAGCGGTTCCCTCGGACGCCCTTGGGCAGCTCTTCGTGTACTTCGTATCCCTGCTCCTTGCTCCCGAGAAAAACCTGGCCCTGCTCGAAGGCATCCTGAAAACCAGAAGGCCCCTGCATCCCTGACAGCCCCCAAGTTCTATTACTGGTAAAATGTGTCACTACTAGGACTTGTGCTAGATTAAAATCCTAAAACAAAGCCGGGCATGGTGGCACACACCTGTCATCCCAGCACTCGGGAGGCTGAGGCAGGAGGATCGTTGGGAGTTCGAGACCAACCTGGGCTACAAAGTGAGCTCAAGGCCAGCCTGAACTGCATAGCAAGGCCCTGTCTCAAAAAGACCACAAAGACAAAAAAAAAAAAAAAAAAAATCCTAAAATAAATGACACATCGTCTGTTCAGAAGATGAGGTTTACAGAGAGTTCCCTGAACAGCAGGAATTCACATGCTATTTGTGTTGCAACTCATATATTCACCACACCGAGCTCTGAGCAAGGCACTTGATGCCTTTTCCAGAGGAGGAAACTGCGGTGCAGAGAGCTAAGTGTGTGCTCTGCCCAGGGCACGCGGCTGCTCCAACCACAGGGCTGAGGCCACGGCCAGACCCCGGCTTCCAAGCCCACATCTCTAACCGCTCCACACGTGGCGCAGGCCGGACATCCCAGCCCGCGGGACAAGCCCTGACCTGAATAACTTGGGGAGTAGCTCTTACCAGGGGGTTCTTATAATAGAACAGCCTCCGCTCCTGGGGATCCAGGGCAAACCACCTTTTCTTGAAAGGTTCTCTCTGCTGCAAAAGAGAGAGCCTCTTACCAGGATGGCAAAGCAGGGGGCAGAGGTGGGGACCAGCTCAGGCCAAGCCCAGGCAGCGGCCAGTTCCACTGGTTCTCCAGCCCCTGGGCTCCCACAGTCAGACCCCTGCTGCTTCTCCCCGGGCCCTGGCCCGGTTCTCGCCCTCCCAAGGCTCTGCCTGCACTCCCGGCCCCCACCCTGCCCACTTGGCCCTGCTGCCTGCAGGGGTGGCCTGGGGAGGGAAGGGGCGCTTTCCTCTTTCTCAGGCTGTGGACAACTAAGTCTCAGAAAAAGGAAGCTGGGAAAATCAGAAGTGGCTACTGCCGGCGAGGCGGACGGTGCTGGCCATGGGCAAACTGTAACCCAGGTCAGGGGGAGGGCGCCCCCGCCCCCAGAAAGAACCCTGGGGCGGGGCTGCGCCCAGCCGGTGAAGGAGGAAGCTTTGCAACATGCCCAGGCTTTCTTTCATCCTGTCTTCTAACGCTGTCACTCTCCTGCCAAGGATTATCACATGAACACGTTCAACCTTTAAAAAACCCAAAAACTTGAGCGCTGCCACTTCTGGAGACTGTTGTAGGGGGCGTCTCTGCTTTCCCCCTCCTCCCCTCTTCCACACCCCCTGCAATCACTGCGACCCCTCTGGCCAGACTTCTGACTTTGAAGCTGCCCCTCACCCCGGCTCAGCCTCCGGGTTCGCTGTACATAAGCGGGCACAGCACGGGCCGCTTCAGCAAGGCGGAGCCAGGCTGCGCGGGAGGCAGCGAGGAGGTTGTGCTGGGGGGGTGGCGCATAGGGACGTTGCTGTTACCCAACATGGTGCCCGTGTATCCCTTGGGCAGTGCTGGTGGGCTCCAGGGCCACGGGTTCTGGAACACCCTAAAGCGGCCTCCCCAGGGAGTCCGTCTCAGCTCTGCTTCCCAGGGGCAGAGGTGGTTCCATGAGTGCAGAGGGAAGGAGCTGAGGCCAAGGGGCCAGGGCTTGCCTGGGAGAGGGGGAGGTTCCTGGGCGGTGCGGGGATGCACACCTGCTAACCCCCGCTTCCGCTCAGTCCCCCACCCAGGAGCTCTCACTCCAACTTCCCGCTGTCCCTTTGCAGCCCTCCTGCCCGCTTCCTCAGCTCCCAAATCCTGCCCTCCTGGTGAAGGGGCCAGGGCCGGGGCCACACGCGTCCCCCAGGGGGCAGGAGGATGTACCTTCGGACCAGTCTTTTCCATGAAGCCTTGCTTGAGGTAGTTCCTGGTGATGAGGGGCACGAGCTGCAGGGAGAGAGACAGACACTGGCCCCGCACTTGCACACCAGGGGGCGAAGTTCCCGCAAGACCTGGGCTCCCCAACAAAGGGGAAGTGCGGCACGGGGAAGGACGTGTGTACTCCGTGGTTGGGGCTATGTTTGGAAGGTCCACCGGCTGTACTGTTCATATTTCAACAAAGCCGGGCAACAGAGCCCCTGAGGCTTGCAGAGCTCCCCAGCACGGCCAGGTCACAGGTAAAGGACTGGCTTTCAGGACCCCTTCAGGCACGGCTGTGAGGGGACTGCTGGGGTCAGGGATGCGCACCCCCACCTCTGGGCACTATTTCCAACCACCCTGGGAGGAGGGTCCTGTCAGTCCCAAAGCTGGTGGCATGAAGAGGCAGGAGCCACGTGTGGGGCCACCACACTAGTACACTGAAGTGTGAATGCACCAGAGCCTCCTGAGACCGGGCCACCGGCAGGGACTGACACAGGCCACAATGAGGGGATGGCACAGCGGGTAAACAAAGCTGTGGACGAGCAGAGGAAGGACACGGGCTCTGGCTGCCTTTCTGACCTCCGCTGGCCATGTGACCTTGCTGAGCGCTTTGGTGTCCCTGTGCAGGGAAGAGACTGTGCTGTGACCTCCAGCAGCCCTTCCACCCGTGTGCCGCCAGGGACACGCGCCGGCCTCCCATTGCGGAGGTCTGAAACGGGGAGGGTTGGGAGCCAGAAATGAAAATCTCTTCTGAAATACATTACAGAGGCTCCCCTCCTCCGCTGGAGAAAACAGGGGAAGCACTGGGGCTCCCCATCCCGAACTTGAGCCAACTTGAGCCAGCGCAGGGCTAGTTTAGGCCCAGGGAATGACGGGAAGCAGGACACAGCCAGGACGGGGTACGCGTTACTGTGCTGCAGGCCACGGGGCTCACGCGATTCCCACAACGGCCCCGAAGGTCACCACTGTCCTACGGTCACAGATAGTACACCGAGGCTCGGAGAGGTGAGACAGTCGGCCCTCCACTTCAGAGTCTGTGTGTCCTCCTTTCCTCCCTCCCGCCCTCCCTTCTTTCCTTCCTTTTCCCCAGCTCTGGGGATTGAACTGAGGGCCTAACAGATGCTGGCCCAGCACTCAGACACTGAGCTCTACTCCCAGGCTGTGTGGGTTCCTGATTAAAAGGACCAGAAATTCAGGGTCTCCCTGAATTTGCAGCATCTGGACCCCTCAGTCTGAGCCAGGCCGGTGACCGCCTGATGCGGTGCACAGCTCGGGTGGGAGGGAAGAGAGGGGGATGCTGGGAGAAGGCCAGGTCGGATGAGGGGAATGACAGTCATAGGGGAGTATGGGAACATGGAGGCCAAAGACCAAGTTCCTGTGCGCAAGTCAGCAACGATGGGAAGCTGGCCCAGGTTAAGTAAGGCCGAGAATCTGAGAATCTGTACTTTGTCCTCCCTCCTCCCGCTCCAGGCAGCCCTCTGGCCAACGGGAGCCAGCAGTAACCAGTTCTGGGCGCTGGCTCAGCACACCATTCTACACAGACCATGACCTTCAGGGTTCTGACCTCCGCCTCTCTGGAACTGAACCCTGGGACCTGCCGGCTTCTTGCATCACTGGGCCTGCAGCGCACCCTGTCCCAGACACCGAGCTCCCTGCAACCCGGGCACTGAGGGACATTTAGGCTTTCAAAGGGCGTCAAATAGGAATAAAAAAAAAAAAATCTCAGGATTAACATTCACCACCCCAATCACTTCAAAACTCTCTTAGAGGGGAGCCTAAAACAGCGATCAGACGACGGTACCTCAGAATTGAAGGGGCCTGAAGCTGACCTGAAGCAACTGCCATCTTACCAATATGGAAACAGATGCTCAGAGAGGTACTGTGATCTGCAAGGGTCACACAGCAAGTCTGGGGACAGCCAAAATGAGGTTCTCAGCTGCAATATGCCCTGGGCCATTGCAAGCAGACCTGCTCCTGTTACAATTGTAATGGGACGATCCCAAGGCCTTCCTGAGACCAGAGACCGCAGGGAAAGGAAAGAATGCCTTCACTCATTCACCCGCCCTTCCTGGGACTCAGTTTCTCGTGAGTTTTTTTACTGGCAATGATCACTCCATCTAACTGCCTGCTATAGGCAGTGACTAGGTAAAGGGGTTGCAAAATAAAATGGGTTAAAAGCACTTCGTAAGTAGTATGTAGGAGTCACTTTAATGGGAGAAGAGGCCCGAAAAAGATGCCCAAAGGCTGAGCTCCTTGACAATGTGATCGTGGTCATGTGTCCTGAAACTGTCCTGCTTTTTGGGCTTTTTTTTTGTTTTTTTCTGGTACTGGGAATCGAACTCACGACGTCGTGCTTCCTAGGTGGGTGCTGTGCCGCTGAGCTAAATCCCCAGCCCCTTGTCCTGCTTTTTGGAGGCCGCTTCACCCACGATCCTCCAGCCTGCCCAGGACCAAGCCTTTGGCTTTCCTCTGCGGGGCTCAGCCCCTAACTCGCAAGACCTTGCCTGCAACAAACATAACGTGGCCTAGACAGACAGAAAAGGGGGTGGCAGAGGGCAGGCTCAGAAGGTGGGGCCCGCACCCGGCTCACCTCAGCCTCCGGGAGGTCAGGAAGGGCCGCTTTCAGGTACTGCAGACGGGCTGCTCGGAGGGCGTTGAACCAGCCCACGATCTCCTACCGAGAGACCACAGAGGACACAGACAGCCGGTGAGCCTGCGGTGGCGGCGGCCGAGCCGGGTGGCGGGGTTAGGGTGTGAGGTGTCAGGCTCACGTAGCCAGGACACGTCCACACCGCTCAGCTCCACCTAGGGCCACCCTGGGAGGACTGTGTCACAGCCCGGGAGCCACCAAGCAAGCAGGAAGCCACTGACAGGGCTCAGACCATGGAGAGGGCTCAGGTGAGCTGCCTGGGAGTGACACGCAATGGCTTAGGATGAGGCTTTGCCTTCTCTTTTTTCTTTTGCCGTCCTTATTTTGTTGGTACTGGGGATTGAACCCAGCGCCTTGCACATACTAGGCAAGCTCTCTACACAACTGGCCCTACCCTAAATTTTTATTTTTATTTTTTTTTGTCTTTTTAAGACAGGGTTTCCAGCTGTGGAAAGTGTCCAGAGGGCAGGGTAGGTCATGCTAAAGAATTCAGGGTAGGAGGCCGGATGTGGTAACACACGCCTGTAACTCCAGCACTAGAGAGGCTGAGACAGGAAGATCATTGTGAGTTTGAGGCCAGCTTGGGCTACATAGTGAGTTCAAGACCAGCCTGAACTGCATAGTGAAGCAGCTGTTTACACCCATGCGCCGCACAACTCCTAGCACATGCTCCTCCCCCATCCTGGGCCTCCGTTTCACACATACCTTCCTTACACACACTTTTTTTTTTTAAAGTACTGGAGATGGAACTCAGGCCACTCTACTATTGAGCAACAAACACTTCCAGCCCTTTTTATTTTTTCACTTAAACAGGGTCATGCTAAATTGCTCAGGCTTGGGGCTGGGGATTTAGCTCAGCGGCAAAAGCGCCTGCCTGGCAAGCGCAAGGTCGTGAGTTCGGTTCCCGGTACCAGAGGGGGGAAAAAAAAAAAATTGCTCAGGCTGGCCTTGAACTTGCAATCTTCCCACCTCAGCCCCCAGAGAACCTGGGGTTACAGACGTGTACCACCACACCCAGCCAACACAGACCTTTTACCTAGAGCATGCTACTCTTCCTGCAGGTTAGTTTAGATGTTGTAGCAGATTTTGAGTGGCTGCTTAGCCCTAGGCCTGCTCCTCTAAGAACCACCCCACCAGCTGGGCGTGGTGGCACACGCCTGTAATCCCAGCACTCAGGAGGCTAAGGCAGGAGGATTGTTGCAAGTTTGAGACTAGCCTGGGCTACAAAGTGAGCTCAAGACCATCCTGAACTGCATAGCGAGACCCTGTCTCAAAAAGACAAAAAAAAGAACCACCCCACCATCCACACCCCTTCTCCCACATTTGAAGCTCTATTCTCTACGATGATCCTCCTCTTTTCTTGGCCTCTGGAAGTGGGTGAGGGTTGGTATAATACAGAGGCTGAACTGGGCTTATCAGACTCTTTCTCCCAGGAATTTGGGACTGGGAGGCTGAAAGAACTGTTCACATAGCTTCAGTGTGGACTGAAGTAACATATATTTGAATAATACAGTGATTGGGAAAGTTTACTTGAATATGATTTTGAAGGAAGTAGACAATTTCCCTTTCTCTGCCCTGGGTCTTCAAGGACAGGGGTCTAGTATCCCAGGGTTCTGAGGTGACTGTCCTGGGAATTTTTAAGAAAAAAAAAAAAAAATTCCTCCAGGCCTTCATTTTCACAAGGTCTCTCTGGTCATAGACTGTTGGTCCTGAGGCCAGCCCCAACCTGTATAAATGATTGAGCTCTGTCCCCCTTGCAGTACTGGGAGCAAGTGCTCTACCACTGAGCTATATCCCTATCCTCTGCATACATGCTTGGTTCCTGAAATTTTGTTTGTTTCAATTCTCTATGCAGGTTTTCCTGTTTGCCCCAGCCCTCATCCTTCCTAATAGCAGCCCATTTTACTTCTGAATTTCCTATCTGGCTCCTGCAGGCGTGAATTTGCAGCTGGCGTTACTGCCCATCTAACAGAGAAGCTGCGGTCCCAAGCGAAAGAGAAGAGAGGCCAGCCCCAGGTTGCCAGCCGCACCGCCCTGGGCAAGTGGGAGGGCGCCGGGTGACAGAAGTGACAGAGGCTCTGCAAATCTGCAGAAGTCCTCGAGGCAGGGCCTGGCATGGACCGGCTGCCACTGGTATCTGGCAGGTCTGGGCATGGGGGAGCAGCAGGGGCACCCCACCCCACAGCCTGAGAACCAGGGATCCCCTCTAAGCCTCCAAGACTGTGCAGGCCCCAAGATTCTGGTAAGACCAAGGAAGACAGCAGGAAAGATGACTGATTTTCAGGGTTCTTGCTAATCTCGGAAGTGAGACCTCTGAATTAGGAGAAACGATGTGTGACTTTAACCTGAGCGCTGGTGTTACGGAATAACTCGTGCCTGTTAGAAGGAGTGCATCTTCTCTCCCTCCCTATCTCCTTCTCCCTCTCTTTCATCTCATGTTCTTGTTCTTTCTTTTCTCCCCCTGTTCTTTGTGTGTGTGTGTGTGTGTCTCTCTCTCTCTCACACACACACACACACACACACACAGCTCCTGATGCTAACCTCTCAGGAGGCCCAGCCATACGCTGGCCCTTGAGATAAATATTTGTGCATTCTTCCCACCCACGCCTGGGTAAGCCAGTTTGAGTGTGCACCTTTGTAGCATAATAACCAGTTCTTAAATAGAAACTTTCCTCCAGAAAGCCTTTACACACACATACACACACACACACATACCGCGTGTTTTCTGTGCATCCCTAGCGTGGCCACTGCCTGTCACACCATTGTTAGCACTGTTTCCCTGTCTCCTTCCACCTAGAGACCCGAGGCGCTACCCCCTTCACAGAACCCTTGCCCCCTGCAGGGACGCAATCCATCCAGATTCGGTGAATGTGAATTCACTCAGGAATCTGTGACACAGGGGCGAGACTGGCCACTGACTTTGCCCTGTACGTGTGCGACCATCGTGAGCCAAGAACTCCAACACCTGTGCAGTGCACACCAAGGTCATGAAACACCGTCGCATTCGTGGTTCGTGGTCACCCTGCCGGTTCTAAATCCCCTCTGAGAGGCGGGAGCGAGAATCCACAAACCAACAGACTCAGGAAGGAAGAGACCTGCCCTGGTGACACGGCTGGGAGCTGCAGAGCCCAGGCCCCAGACCCCTGTGCTTCAGACCATGCCCCCAGGCACCCTGCCTGGGCCACAGGGGAAACATGGGGGCCCCCACCCCTCGACGGACCCTCAGGAAGGCCAGGTCCTAAGGTTCTCCAGCAGCAGAGGCCTGTTGGGTGGTGAAATGCTCGCTGGGGTGTCACCCCGACTTAACATGTCCATGCTCGGGAGCACAGGGACGTAACATGCTTGGGCTGTTCTGAGGAGTAAGAAATGACACGCAGCAGTCGGCAGTAGGTGTGCCTACACAGGCCACAGATACAAACGGTCAACCCCGGCTTCCCTCCTCCCGCCCCCGGTTAGCATCCGTTTCCCCTGCCCCCTCAAAGGACCCTGCTCAGGCTCCAACCCAGCCCATTCTCTTGGAGCTGCTCTCCTGCCCGGGCTGATCTCCCGGGCCCGCCAGTAATGCTCCCCCACCGTTAGCGTGCATCAGGATGGCCCCGTGAGAGGGCAGTCGCTAACTGAGCAGCTCTGCTGGACCTGCGACTCCAGCTCTCACACACGTCCAGGTAAAGCCAAAGCTGTGGATCCAGGACAGCAGCCGAGAACCAACCCACGCCTGACCGCCCCCTTCCTCCACCCTCATTCAGAATCCCTGGCCCTGCCGGATGTGCCCTCCCCGGGCACCATGCCTTCTGCCGACTGGACTCTCCTTAGCGGCTGTGAGCTGTCCAGGTAGAACCCTGGCACCCGCCAGCCTCCTGCCCCACACCCCTCTCTACTTTGCTCACAGGTCTGTCTCAGACCAGGAAGTAGAAACAGGCGAAGGCCAGCGCCAGCGCCAGCAGCAGCAGCAGCAGCAAGTCTCCAGAGGCAGCTAAGCACATCCCGAAATGAGCCAGGAAGGCAGGGAGCCCCGCCCACAGCGCCCTGGGTGCCGAGCTGGAGGCGGGGCCAGCAGCCCAGGGCATCTCACCTTCCCGCTCTCGTGGTATAGGAACAGGTTCCGGGTGTGGTTCTCTCTCCGGTAGGTGACCTGCAGCCCATGGGGGTGCCCCATCTTCTCTGTTTGGAAAGTGGCATTCAAGTCCTTGATACTGATGACAGCTTTGGGGCCTTTATCCTGAGAGAAAAAACGACACTCAGGGCAGTGGCAGCGGGGTGGCTTTACATCACTTTCACCAGGGCTCTAATGCAAACAGAAAACCAAGGTGCAATTTGCCTGGGCTTAAACGTTCTTGCTCTAATGTCTTTTTTTGTTGTTTTCTTAGTACTGGGGTTGAACACAGGGCCTTTGCACTGAGCTACATCCTCAGCCCTTCTTTATTCCGTATTTTGAGACTGGATCTCACTAAGTCACTGAGCTGCCTGGGCTGGCCTTGAACTTGTGGTTCTCCTGCCTCAGCCTCCTAAGTAGCAGGGGTTATGGGCATGGACCACCATCTCTGACCTACACCAACACTCTTCACTATGTTTTTCTCCAAAGATTATTGGAAAACTGTCCTTTTTAAAAACTTACTATGAGAAATACTAAAAATATTTTTAAATATACTTTTGTCAATATTCTTCTTAACTTTACAAAAAAGGAACATGACATTGCCAGGTTGGGGATGTAGCTCTGTGGTGCAGCACTTGCCTAGCAAACGTGAAGCCCTGGGTTTGTCTCCAGCACCAAAAAAAAAAACAGACATAATAAAGCCAATTCCTTTAAGTAAGACTCACCTCCCGGTTCTCCTGCATTCCCCAAGGCAACTGTCATGGGTTTGATGTTTCTCTTTCTAGTTCTTTTTTTTTTTTTTTTTTTTTTTGTCTTTTTGAAACAGGGTCTTGCTAAGCATTTCAGGCTGGCCTTGAGCTCACTTTGTAGCCCAGGCTGGTCTCGAACTCACAAGGATCCTCCTGCCTCAGCCTCCTGAGTGCTGGGATTACAGGCATGTGCCACCACCCCCGGCTATCTCTTTCTAGTTCTGTTTTTTTCTTTTTCTTTTTTCTTTTTCTTTTTTTTGTCTTTTTGAGGCAGAGTCTCGCTATGCAGTTCAGGCTGGTCTTGAGCTCACTTTGTACCTCAGGCTGGTCTCAAACTCACAATGATCCTCTTGCCTCAGCCTCCCAAGTGCTGGGATTACAGGCATGCACCACCACGCCCAGCTGTAGTTCCGTTTTTCATACTTATACCCACATATACACATACGCACACATCTATAAACAATTCAGTGTTCTCTTATGTGGTTCTAAGTCATATAAATGGAATCGTTGCACATGGATCATTCTGCCTTGCTTGTGTCACTCAATATTACATTTCTGACACCACCCATGGTGAACACGGTCTTCCGGTTTGCTATTGTGGCTATACAAAAAGTTATCAACCTACCTACCTAGTGACCTATATTGAGATTATTTCTGGTTTCTTGCTATCATAAGTAACGCCACAGTCAGCTTATGCCCCTTGTACACATGTGTGTGAGAGTTTCCGTAGGTCACTGTGCATTTGCGGATGGAATTGCTAGATCAAAGTTTTGAACACCTTCTACTTACTGGAAGCAGCTGACTTACTCCACAGGACGGCCCCCACAGTGGCTGTACCCACACTTCCGTCAGTGACACAGAAGAGCTCCCTTTCAGTTACATCCTCACAAATGCTTGACACTGTCAGATTTAAAAATTTTTGCCAATACAATGGGTACAAAATTATACCTCATTGTTAATTTTCATTTAATTAAGTTTATTGAGATATAATTTATATGAGCATTTTAAGAATAGTAGGGCCAAGTGTGGTGGCACACGTCTGTAACCCCAGCACTTGGCAGGCTGAGGCAGGAGGATCACCGTGAGTTCCAGGCCAGCCTGGGCTACATACACAGTGAGTTCAAGGCCAGCCTGAAGTACTAGCAAGACTTGTCTCAAAAAAAGAACAGTTTAGCAGGGCACAGTGGTGCACACCTGTAATCCCAGTGGGTGGGGACACTGAGCAAGGAGGATTCAAGTGCAAGGCCAGTCTGGGCAACTTCATAACAACAAATAAAAGGTGTGGCTTCTGGGCGTGCTGGCGCACACCTGTCATCCCAGCACTCAGGAGGCTGAGGCAGGAGGATTGCTGTGAATTTGAGGAGACCTAGTCTTAAAACAAAGCAAAACAAAACAAAACAAACAAAGGCTGGGGGTGTAGGTCCATATAAAGATCTGGGTTCAACCTTCAGTACAGAGAGAGAGAGAGAGAGAGAGAGAAATTTTGATTTTTGATATATATTTACACAATCCCTACAACAACCAGAACATAAAGCATTATTATCACCCCAAAAGAGTTCCCTCCCTCTGCTGTCAATCTCTACTCCACTCCCACCCCATTTATCTGCCTTCTGCTGGTATAGGATGGTTTTACCTGCTCTGGAATTTCATGGAAATGGAACTAAACAGTACTCTTCTATAAGGCTTCTTTTGCTCAGATAAGGTTTCTGAGGTTCACCCATGTTGTTACCATTTACTGACAGTTTGTTGATTTTTATTGCTGAGTAACATTCTGTTCCACAGACCCACTGATCTGTATTTGTTCAGTGGTAGAGGGGCCTGTGGGTTCTGTCCAGGTTTGGGGTACCACAGATGAAGCTTCTGTGAACATTCTGTGTACACAGCATTTTCTGAATACAGGCTTTCGCTACCTTTCAGTAACTACCTTGAAGTGGAATGGCCGGTTTATGCAGATCAGTGTGTGTTTAGCTCTCCTAAAACCTGCCAGATCGTTTTCCAAGCGGGTCGTCTCAGGTACAGCATCACCAGCAGGGCTGAGCGCTCTCGCTGTCCTACGTCCTCAGCACCTGGTGAGGTCAGCCTTTGTAACTTCAGTCACTCTGGTGGCTACATAGTTCATCTCATCTCACAGTTGATTTTAATTTGCATTTCAGTAGCTGTGGGGAGACTGATTCTATGTGTGTTTGAACCCACGGCTTTCATCCTGCAGTTTGAACCCATGGCTTTCATCCTGAGTTACATTCCTGGCTCTTTTTTTATTTTGACACAGGGTCTCCCTAAATTGCTAAGTTGCCCAGGCTGGGCTCGGATTTGTGATCCTCCTGCCTCAGCCTCCCAGAGTGCTGGGATTACAGGCATGTGCCTCAGGCATCTTTTATCTTTCCCTCTCCTTCCTTTTCTCTTTCGCCCTCTCTCCCTCTTTTTCTTTCTCTTGTTTTCCCCTTTACTACTAGAAATTCAACCTCAACCCAGGGAGTGCTGAGCTACATTCCCAGCTCTTATTTTTATTTTAAATTTTGAGGCAGGGTCTTGCTAAGTTGTCCAGGTTGGCCTCCAACTTCCGGCCTTCCTGCCTCAGCCTCCTCAGTAAGGAGGATTACAGGCGTGCCCCTCCACACTTAGCCTGGTTTTTTTTTCTGTGACTGTCAGTCCACTTTCTTTCCCTATTTTCCTAAGGCATTATCTTTTTGTTTTTGATTTATAATTTTTTACAAATATATACTCTAGATATTAATATTATTACATTGAGCTATTTTCTGAGTTTCACTTTATTACTTTACTTTTTATTCTTTTTTGGGGGGGGGTACCAGGAATTGAACTCACGACCTTGTGCTTGCCAGGTAGGTGCTTGTGCTACTGAGCTATATCCCCAGCCCCCTTTACTTTTTATTCTTTTTTCTTTTTCTTTTTCCTTTCCTTTTTTTTTGGGAGGTCTCAGTGTATTCCATGAGCTCTTAGGCTCAAGCAACCCTTCTGCCTCTGCCTCCCAAGTAGCTGAGACAACAGGGACCCCACCATGCCTGGCTAACTTTTTGTTTGTTTGTCTTTTTTGAGACAGGGTCTCCCTATGCAGTTCAGGCTGGCCTTAAGCTCACCTTGTAGCCCAGGCTGGTCTCAAACTCACAACGATTCTCCTGCCTCAGCCTCCGGAGTGCTGGGATTGCAGGAGTGTGCCATCACGCCCAGCTCCCTGGCTAACTTTTGGTATTACCCAAATTTTTTACATAAAAATAAGTTACATTCCTAATAATGACTTAACCCGTCCACTTAGGGAAAGATATAAAAATGCACATAGGGAAGCCACTCTTTGGACTACTCTAGACTAAGCTGACTCCGGAGTGAAAGTATCAACCTTTCTAACCAAAGATGAGCCCCCGCCCCCAGGCCAGCTCCCTGCAGCGGCTGGGCCTTCCCGAGGCAGCACTTTCTCTGCCTGCCTCGAAAGTGCTTCTCCTGGCTTTCGACTGAAGACACAGAAATCCAGCTCCCACTTGGAGGTGAACAATTCGCCCCCTACATTTCCCCTTGGCCCCAGACTGCGGCCACAGCCCTCCCAGCACTGCTCTGGGCTCTGGAGGAAAGCAATCACGCTTTCTCCGTATTGGAAATGGACTAGAGCGAAGGTTGAAGTGCCCGGAGCTCGTCCTTCTCTTCCACTGCTGGCCACTGCTTCACATTCGCTGTGCTAGAAAAGTCTCACCTTTCGGTCTTCTGACCCTGGCCGGCCCCAGGCCTCGCTGTGATAGCTGCCTCCCAAAATGCCCTCACTATTTCCTTCCCTCCCACTGGGCACATGGCACTCAGCCCGTTTTGGCACACAACAGAACCCAGCTGGGTGTGGTCGCACACACGGGTGATCCCAGGAGGATCGTAAGTTTAAGCACAGCCTGGGCAAGTGAGTGACTTAGCAAGACCCTGTTTCAAAATAAGAAGAAAAAAAAAAATCAAAATTAATGAAAGGTTGGAGCTGTAGCTTAGTGTGAAGGTCCTGTGTTCAAATCCCAGTGCAGAAAATAAAATCACAGGAGGGAAAAAAGAAGGAAAGAAGGAAGGAAGAAAGGAAAGGAAGGAGGCAGGGAAGGAGGGAGGGAGAGAGGGAAGGAAGAAGGAAGAAAAGAAGGAAAGAAGGAAGGAAAGGAGGGAGGGGAGGAGGGAGGGATCTATTTCCCCTCCTCGCTGGTTGCAGCTGGCAGCACGACTTGCTGTGAGCAACACGACTTGCTGTGAGCAACAGCACACATTTCCTGGCCTAACCTTTCAACGGCCTTGCTGTGCAGAAGCTTGAGCTCAGCTCCTGGCTGAGGGAAGTTCTCCAGGACCCCAGAGCTGCGGGCCAGGCCTTCCTTGGCTCCCTGGCCCAGCTAAGTGCAGAACGCAGCGAGTGGCCCAGCTGATGACACTCGGCACGCACTGCTCAGATTCCTGCCCCACAGGGTTCTGGGAACTCGTGCGTTCATGCTTGCGTGTGCTGTGTTGTGTTTTGTTTGTTTTGTTTTGTGTGTGATACTGAGGATTGAATTCACGGCCTAGGCCAGCTAGGCAAGCACTCTACCATTGAGCTATACCTTTTAGACTGCTTTAAACTGTTATATTTTAGGGTGGTTTGTTACTTAGCAACGAATAACCAAGTACTCTGACCTTGAACATCTTTTCCTTGCATAAGCAATCGTGGCCATTCCCATTGCTAAACCAGTCCACATGCCGATGACACCCGCTTCCCACTTCACCGAATCTCCAAGTACATCATCGTCCCACTTCCTTCTCAGCTGCTCCTCTTGGATGACCAGTAAGCACCTCAGACTGAAAAGAGCCCTCAGCCCTCCCTTTTAGGAGCTGAGTCTCTGCCATCTCAGCAAATGGCAAATTTGTCCTTCTGGTTTTGAAGGTCTACAGTCTGGGAAATGGAGCTAAGCACACTGGCACAGGCCTGCAGTCCCAGCTATTCAGGAGGCTGAGGCAGGAGGATCACGTGAGCCCACAAATTCAAGACCAGCCAGAGCAACCATGAGACTCTGTCTCAAAAAAAAAAAATCTGAGAATTGGGCTGGGGATGTCACTCAGTGGTAGCTCTGATGTCCCATCCTTGCCAGGCGTGACGGTGCACGCCTGTAATCCCAGCACTCGGGAGGCTGAGGCAGCAGGATCCTTGCAAGTTCGAGACCAGCCTGGGCTACAAAGTGAGCTCAAGACCAGTTTGAACTGCATAGTGAGACCCTGTCTCAAAAATAAATAAATAAATAAATAACATCCAATCCTTGAGTAATTTGCTTGGTCTACTTCCAAAATGAATCCAGAACCTGACTACTCTACCCATCTCCATCACCACCTCCTGATCTAATCCATTATTCCTCACCTGGGATTTTTTTTTTTTTTTTTTTGGTACTGGGAATTGAACTCAGGACCTTGCGCTTGCCAGGCAGGCACTTGTGCCGCTGAGCTATATCCCTGGCCCTCACCTGGGTTATTATAATAAAGTCCTAACTTATTTTTTTGCTTCCATTCTTACCTCCTTCCTTCCTCACCCTCATCCCAGCAGCAGCCACAGTGATCTTTTAAAAGTTCAAGTCACTGGGCAGGGTGGTACACACCTGTAATCCCAGCACTTGGGCAGCTGAGGCAGGAGCATCACTGTGAGTTCAAGACCAGCCTGAACTGTATAGCGAGACCCTGTCTCAAAAAAAAGTTCGAGTCAAGTTATATCACTTCTCTGCTCAAAATCTTCCAGGGACTTTCTTTCTGTCTTAAAGTAAAACCCCAAATCCCAGATTTTTGAAAATTATATATATGAATGAATGATAAGGGACTTGTATCTACAATATATAAAGAACTACTTCTACTCATTAATAAACAAATAACCTAATTAAAATATGAGAAAAGGATATGAATAAACATTTCTGAAAATGAGATATACCAGTGACCAAAAAGTATATCTAAACATGTTAGCTGGGTGTGGTGGCACACACCTATAATCCCAGCATTTGGGAGGCTGAGGCAGGAGGATCATTGCAAGTTGGAGGCCAGCCTGGACTACAAAATGAGCTCAAGGCCAGCCTGAACTGCACAATGAGACTCTGTCTCAAAAAGACAAAATAAATAAATAAATAAATAAATAAATGAACAACAACCACCTAGAAAAAAAATGTTCACCTTCATTAGATATGAGGAAAATACAAATCAAAAGCACCATAAGATGTTACTTCATACCCCCTAAGATACTCACTAAGATACCCACTTTTTAAAAGTCATATAAAGGGCTGGGGATTTAGCTCAGCGGCACAGCGCCTGCCTGGCAAGTGCAAGGTCGTGAGTTCGATTCCCGGTACCAGAAAAAAACTAAAACTAAAATAAAATAAAATAAAATAATAGTCATATAAAAATGTAGAGGCCAGGCACGGTGGTGCACACCTATAATCCCAGTACTGGGGAGGCTGAGGCAAGAGGGTTGTCTCCAATCCCAAGCCAGCCTGGGCTACACAATGAGTTCAAGACCACCCTGATCTACGTAGTGAGACCCTGTCTCTAAAAAAAAAAAAAAAATGTAGAGAAATTAGAAACTTGCACACTGGTGGGAAATTAGAAACTTATAAAATGGTACAGCCACTCTGGAAAACAGGCTGGCAACTCTTCAAAAGGTTATCACGGTTTCCATGTGACACAAGATCCTACTCCTAGATATATCGAGATGAAAGGAACCACCAGCACATGAAAACGGGTCCATGTGCGTTCCTAGCAGTGCTATTTGTCAGTCAAAGCCACACAAACGTCCATCAACTGATGTGTGGATGAAGAAAATGTCACACACAGCAGTTACTATTATTGCACAATGAAAACGACTGAGGTACTGCAACACGCTAACACAGGAAGTTTGAGAACATCAGGCTGGCTGTGCCTATGCATGTTGCATGCCTATAGTCTCAACTTCTCAGAAGGCTGAGGCAGGACTGCTGGAGGCTAGGAGTGCATTGCTGGGAAAACAGAAAGAGGCCCCATTTCAAAAAAAGAGAAGTGGGGCTGGGAGGAAAGGAAAGGAAGGAGAAAAAACATTCAGCTAAGTAAAAGCAGTCTGCTACACAGGAACACGTATTGCATCATTCTGTTTATATGAGATGTCCAGAGAAAACAAATCCACAGAGACAGAAAGCAGATGGGCCAGGGTGAGAGATTATAGCTAAGGGTTATATGGCTTCTTTTAGAGGTTATGAAAGGGTTCAAAAATTGATTGTAGGCCTGGGGTGGCGGTGAACGTCTGTAATCCCAGCACTCAGGAGGCTGAGGCAGGAGAATCACCAAGAGTTCAAAGCCCAGCCTAAACTACAGAGCAAGACCCTGTCTCCAAAACAACAACAACAACAAAAAAAAACAACTGACTCTTGAATATACGAGGTAGGATTTCTTCCATACTTTAAATAGGTGAATTATACGGACTGTGAATTATGTCTCAATACAGCTGTATTTTAAAAATCTCTGGGCTCGATCTCCAGCACTGCAAACAAACGAACAAACAACTTAGGTCTTACTGTGGCCTATAAAACCCTCCGCTGAGTGACTTCACCTCACTCCTTCTTCCCCTTGCTCGCTCTGCCCTGGTTTCTTGGCCTCCTTGATGCCTGTGGTCTCATCTATCACATTTCCAGCTTAGGGTCAGGTCTGTGGCATATGGCGGAGCAGATTGTGCACTGCACGAAAAGCCGAGTGTGAACCGCAATCTGGGCTTCTGCCCCGTGAGACTGGGCCCTGGGCCTCACCATCCTGGACCAGTCATCTCCCCTAATCAGCACAGGGGTGTGCGTGGCAGCCCTCTGTCTTTCCTGACCACACTGTGCAGCCCCCCACACCCCCGTCACTCTACCCCTCACCCTCTTTTACCGTCCTTCCCAGAACCTGCCATCCGCTGCACTGCAGGGAGGTCTCGGCCTCTGCCCGTCTCCTTCCACTGGAAGGAAAGCTCCATTAGAATGAGTTAGGTTACTGCTATATCCCCCAGGGCCTAGGACAGTGTCCAGCACACAGCAGGTACTCAACAGATATTTCTTTCTTTCTTTTTTTCTTTTTCTGGTATGGGGAATCAAACTCATGGCCTTGTCCTTGCCAGGCAGGCGCTTTGCTGCTGAGCTAAATCCCTGGCCTTCGACAGGTATTTAAGTGAATAAATGAATATGGTAGAATGAAGTGATCACCATAGGCTTTTTTTTTTGTTGTCTTTTTGAGACAGGGTCTCGCTATGTATTTCAGGCTGGCCTTGAGCTCACTTTGTAGCCCAGGCTGGTCTTGAACTCGCAGTGTGCCTCCTGCCTCAGCCTCCCGAGTGCTGGGATTACAGGCGTGCACCACCATGCCTGGCTCCACCATAGGCTTTCACATGGACTAGTCTCTGGGCACAGCAGTGTGTCCTTAGTCTGATCTACTCAGGAGGCTGAGGCAGGAGGACTGCTTGATCTCTGGTGTTTGAGGCTAGCCTGAACAACATAGTGAGACTCCATTTATAAACAAACAAACAACTGGGTGTGGTGGTCCATGCGTGTAATCCCAGCTACTTGGGAGGCTGAGATAAGAGGACTGCAAGATCAATTTAAAGGGTCCAGTGAGGTGTGAGCCAGGTGCTCAGGGAGGAAGGAAGCCATTCCCAGGCTGGCCTCTTACCTGGTCCTTGGTGTAGTACTTGAGGAGGCCTTCTCCCGCCAGCAGGACAAACCTCCTCCTTAGGTACTGTCCGTTGTCCCTTCCCCGCTTCCACAGGATTCCTTCTCTGTTACCTGACCCACAGGGATGAGAAGGAGAGAACACCCCTGATCTTCAGATGCACAAGCGGCTCCAAGCTCTCCACCTGTCACCCAGCCCCTCTGATCTGACACGGTTGTTTCAGCTGCAGCACGCAAGGGTCCTGTCTGCATCCAACCCCACGACGCCGTATCATTTTGGGAGGATTCCCCACTGTGCAAACCTTCTTCCCCAGCTCTCCAGGGAGCCAGGCCATCACATTAAATGAATAATAAACTCACAAGAAAGCTAGAGCCTGAGAAACTGGACGGATTCTAGAAGAGGCTAAATATACCCGAGCCTGCTCCGCTTCACGCTGACAGCGGCCTGATAAGGCTCTGGGGATCGAGTGACTCAAGGCACCTGCTAGTCTGAAGAATAATTTGCATTTCTGGGAGCAAAGAGAGTTGTGTGATGGTTTCCCCTGGTCCTCCCGAGGGGTTTTGCCCTCTTTGTTCTGTGGCTCAGTATCAGCTTGGACTCAGGGCAACGGGGCATAAACTGCCACTGATCCAGGGCCACCAAGAAGGTTGCGCCCTGCACAATGAAGGTAAGGGAGGCTCAACCCAGTCCCTGCGCCCCCGCCCACCCCGCGGTTCAGCCCCGCCAGGCGCTGAACTAGCCAGGAGCGGGGTGCCTTGCTCTGATGGCTCGGCCAGTGGCGGAGGCTTCCTGCAGCTCCTATTAGGGCTGTGACACCGTGACACTGTGGCCCTGCAAGGACCTGAGACCCATCTGCTTCTCAGACCATAAACCCCACCTGCCCATGTACTTGCTGTTCCCAGGCACAAGAGCCCACGCCTTGGCTATCCGGGCACCTCGCAGCAGCAGGCATCTTGTGGATGGATCTTGTTGCTAATAGCCTCATCAGAATACAGATCTCGAAGATAAGAAAACAACTTTACCTGGCGGGGAGAGGGGTTTCCCATCAGCCATAAACTCCTGTCTCTCATACTTAGCTCGAATCCATTGCTCCTTTAAGACCCTAAAAAGAGAGAAGCTCTGGTCAGCCGTGTCTGCTGTGGTTTCCTCCCCAGCACCCTTACAAGGCCCAGAAGCTGAGGGTGGGAAGTCACCGCCACTGCCTTCCTGCCTGCTGAGTACACCCAGGGCCTCTGGCCTCGGGATGTTGACATTGGGTGCTGGGTCATTCTTCGTCCTGGGGGGTTATGCTTTTGTAGAACGTTTAGTGGTATCTCTGGCTTCTACTGACTACAGGCCAGGAGCACCCACTCCCCCAGATACGACACTGGAAGGGTCTCCAGACATATTTCTCCCTGCCGGCTGAGAACCACTGGACTATCCCAGCCCCAGCCTCGCCCTCTGGGTTGTTTAAGAAAGGTGCAGCTTCCTGGGAATCCCCAAGTTCCGCCCACTGTACAGTCATGAGCGTGAGCCAGGAGGGTCCAGGAGCCTCTTCCTGTGCCTCGTCTGGAACCTCAGGCATATGACACTGGGCAGGTGGTGGCCTTGGCCCTGACCACCTGGATCTGTGGTCACTGTGGCCCACTGTGGGATCAAGAACAAGTTACTCAGCTCCTCTGAACCTGGGGAACGTGCCAGTGGTGCTGCATCTCCCCGTGCCTCAAGGCGGCTGAGAAGTCAAAATGCATGTAAGAGGCCCAGCACGACGGGGGGCGGCTTGGGCACGTGTTCAATGCCACCTCACCCAGATCTCGACATCCACGACCCCCACAGGACCACCGTGCAGCCTAGAGTAGAACTATTTGCATTGTTTTGTTCCCTCTCACTTTTTCCAGGTAAATGTTCCAAGGATTGGATGATCTTGTGCTCGGGCCACCAGAATGACCTAGAGCTGGGCATTCAGAGCCCCGACCTGCATGAACCAAAATGGAGAGGCTGATTGGAAGCCCTCTCAGGGGTGGGGCCAGGCAGTGTCGCCTGGTACCTGGAAGTGACCCTGCTGCAAGCTAAGTGAAGAAAGCCTGACTTAGAGGAAGATACAGAGACAAGATCAGACAGTGTGAAAGGCCTGGTGATGGCTGTGGCCCTGGCTTGGTCTTTCCCGAGGGTTGCTCCACCCCCGTCCTTCCTGTGGTCTGATCCCCAGCAGGTGAAAAATCCTCTTCAGCCTGAGCCAGCTTACACTGGGTCTCTATCACTTACGGTCATAGGACCCCTGAAAAGTCACCAGGCACAACAGGAGGGTGCGAATCCCGGGCTACAGGGTCAGAGCTGAGAGAGGGACTGGACACCCAGGGCACGGCGGGGAATTTAGAGGAGGTTTAGAACTGTGGGTGGTGGCCATTAGTACTCAGCTCAAGGGGTTAAAATGCGGGCTGTGTTGAAGTCATAACAAGCAGCGTCTGCGTGATGCTAGCAGAAAGCCACACACAGCTGGTGCTCCGCAAGTGCCTGGAGCAAAGGGCTGAGTGGCAGCAGTAAGGCAGGACTGGGATGGGGCCTTTCAGGTGGAGCGAGGCACACCCCTCGGGACCCAGGCCCAGGACCAGGCAGCACCCAGAAACTGACACAGAAAAGCATTAAAACTAGTGTGGCACCTGGAAGTGACCCTTCCAGGCGTGGCCAGGTGTGGTGGCTCACACTTATAATCCCAGCATTTGGGAGGCTGAGGCAGGAGGATCGCAAGTTCCAGGCCAGCCTGGACTACACAGTGAAACCCTGTCTCAACAAAACAAAACAAAACAAGCCAGGCGTCATGGCACATGCCTGTAATCCCAGCACTCAGGAGGCTGAGGCAGGAGGATCCTTGCGAGTTCGAGACCAGCCTGGGCTACAAAGTGAGCTCA